TGGTCTGAAATGGGAAAACATTATGCGGATTTAGTCCATTATATTTTATAGTAAATAAATTAGTTTATTCATGGATATACAGCATAACAAACATCTGCTTATGTTAGGATAAATAGTAAAGGAAGGAGCTACGAATGGGGTTTGAAAAAGAGGGAGAGGAGCAAACACAAGGGATGGTTGGGTGGCAGAGTGGATTGATATAGGTGCATGAATGGATGGACGGGTTAGTGGAAAATGGGTGACTGAAGAATCTATGTATACAACGATCCATTACAGTGCGAATCGAAAAACCGTGGGCAAAAAACATTTCAAGAATGTTCAATAGCCGCCAATCAGAAGCGTTATATTGTTATCTTTCCGTTATCTTGTGTTAGAAAGTCAATTTTAATTGGCCAAAGAAGAATATTTCTAGGTGCCCACGGTTTTTCGATTCGCACTGTAATGGATGGATGGACGAATAGCTTGGTGGGATCCATCTATTTTTTTATCTATTATGTGTTCATTGCATATGTTTTTGGACTGTTTGGTGAGTGTGGAGACGGATGGATGGATGGGTACGGTAAATACGCACCTGAACATAACCGACCAGCATAGCCCTTGGTACAGATGCAAGGTCTCGTTGGGTTTTCAACACAAGTGGCTCCGTTATGGCAAGGATTATCATAGCATACCTTTTCCACTAGCAAACAGTTAAAGCAACTCAGTTAGAAGTTTAAAATTTCAAAGGTTTTACCATTCTGCACTGAGATATATTGCCGTAATGAGACAATCTTACCCGAGTTATCGCTGGCAGACTTATAGTACACCATGAAATTTCAACTCGCCTCAAAAATTATTGCAACAACAAATATATAAAATTCTGCACGTTGCGAGCACGACATTATCATCATCTGAAGACATCATATTCGTTGGCATCAAGGACTTCAACTAATTCAACTTCAACTTCATCGCCATTTTTATTATTGTCAAATCAAATATGGCCTTATGATCATTTACCTTGACAGTAATCTCCTCCATAGTGTGCAGTGCAAGAACAATTAGCTTTGCCCCGAATAATTGTACAGGTTCCACTATTCAGACATGGGTTTATAAAACAAGGATCCGCATCTGGAAATAAAAAATGTCACACAGCATCCATCAACAAGATATTTATTCTTAAGATAATGAAACAATTTCCTTGTGGGGATTGCGGAAGCAAATAGCTAAAAGACAACTGATACCTTATTGGACGAGAGAAAAACCCAAAGTCTCGACTGCCGAAATCGCAGATGATATAAGTAAAGGCTATATATATATACAAGGAATATGTAAGGGCTCAGCCTGGCTGCTAGCCTAGCAAAATTAATTAATTTGGAGCCTGCAATCTTTACCTTTACATCTTTCCCCTTGATAGCCTGGTTTGCACGCGCAATTGAAGTTGTTGTCTATCTGGATGCAAATGCCATCATTTTCACATGGATTTGGTTCACAAGAAGTGAATTCTTTAAAGGAAAGAAAAGCCCATTATATAATTTAAAATAATCTTAAAAACCGATCTAACCGAAGAATATGGGAAATGTCTAAATTCTATGCCAGACAATTCTGAAGTGTAAAACATGAACGTCCTAGAATACCGTGGCATACCTTCACATGTGCAGCCTTTAAATCCTTTTGGACAAATGCACTTGAATCCATGGGCATCTTCAATACATGTGCCATTATTGTGGCATGGATTGGAATGGCAGTATAACAGATCTGTATAATACATTGAAACGTTACACATCACTGATATACTCTTTGCAGCATCCACCATTGATGCATCATTGATATATTCTCAATCCAGTTCAATATGCCCTTTGCAGCTCAGTAATGACATGTTGATTAATTCGCGTATATTAAATGAATATTTTGATTCCCATGGGTGAAATTAACTGGAGACTGCAAACAAACTTTCTACAACCTGTTTCGAGAGATCGTAATAAAACTACATTTCGTAACACACTGGTTACACATCGCTTCATTCAGTTCTTAACAAGTAGCTTAAAAGAATCACCAATTTAAAATAGCTTAAACAAAAATTTTACTCTCCAGTACAGACAAGTGACCGTTAACTGCAAGGGACGATTTGGATAACGATATTCTTTTCCAATGTCAGCTGTACTCGGATGGAATTGCTTGGCTCCAATTTGGATTGGTACGCAACCTCGAGCCGAAAAGCTATTTCAAGAGGATTTCTTTGGCAAGACAGGGCAAAATTCAATCTTTATCTATCTTGACTAGAAGAACTCAAAAGACAGATCGAAAATTTTAAACCACGTTTACCAGCATTAGACTAGCTAGTCAGTCTCCAGTACTTAATTGAGGCTGCATGTATATGACAGTCTTTTCTTACCTCTACAAGTCTTTCCTTTAAAGCCAACGGGACACATGCATAAAAACGTACCATTGGGAAACTCTTGCACTTCTCCACCATGAAGACATGGGTTTTCTAGAGAAGATAATAAGAAAATAAATATAAGTACAATTATTCATTTTGGGATCATCTTTAGTAAATTAAATTGCATAAAACATTACCTCGTAGCGGTTAGTGCATGGTTTCGTGTAAGACACATTAAACAAGAACGATCCCATTATATTGAAAACAGCCGAGCGGGAGCTTAAAAGCACTTTCATGCAGTATGGACCTCTTTACCTTGGGCCACGTGCCATTCCCTTAAGTATCATGCCTTTGGTTAATGGCTGTGCATGAGAAGACACACGAATATGGATACACTCAAAAGTATCATATTGTCAAGAGAATTAGGTCCAAGGTAAAGAGATCTATTGACTCCAACTTACTTGAGCCATGCTCGAATAAGGAACCTTCATAATCGTTCATAATTAAATTATTTCCCTCAGTTTCAAATCCGCGATGAAGAGTCTATAGGAAAATTTTTTTTTGTCAATGATTCATTCGATGATTTGCTTTTTTGTCAGTGCCACCATGCAAAAGTGGGAGCAGTTAAATGACAGCACTTTTGATTCCAGTCAACTCGGGACTGTCACTTGCTGTCAAGTGGCATTGCTTTTTCAGTATCTTTCGCCAGGGATTTTTCTCCTGTAAGAGCGAGATGTCCGTAATATCGGGGTGTCCGCAAGACAAGACTTTATTGTAGTAGGCGCAAAAATCCATGGCCAAATTCAAAGCACAAATATTAGTCCACGTATTAATTAATGGAAATTGCATCACATATACATACTCGTTTGCTTACCATTAAACTGATTAACATGAACGACCTCAACCGGCGGTGGAGCTAATGGTGCGGGCATGACAACACAATCCACACACCCAGGACACATTTCACAGCTAATATAACCAGACCCAGACCCTGATCCTTCATCTTTCTCGGTTGCACTTTCAGAAGGATCGTCCCTTGAAACATTACTCAAAACTTTAAAAAGGGTTTTGTTGACAATGGAATTGATAACATGAGGAGAGATCTTGGGCTTCACTATTTTGTAGCCTCCTGGTAACACAGTTGTATTTCCTTGCGTCGTATTTGCAGCTTCTTCCAAAGTTTCATTTACAATGCTTGATATTGTTTCGAATTGCGGGCCTTTTGAATTGTTTCCCGCCTTATCTAGTTGTAAAAGAGCATCACCGTTATACATCCCTCCAGAACTGAATTTCCTATGATTTTCACTGAACTGACTTTTTTGGTGATCCACTTTTTCACTGAAAACATTTCCTTGATTCAATCTCGAATTTGACGGCAAAACTTCAAATGCAAAGAACATCAAAACCAAAAATTCAAATAAATAAACTTTTTCCATCCCAGCATCAGTTAATACTTTCCTTTGCGTCGTAAAAAAATCAAAAAAGTTTGGTCTTGGTATTTGTAAAAGAAAAAATAGATTATACCTATATATGTTAAAAATGAAGACAAAATAGAAAATAAATAATTCATCGACAGCTAGCCTCTTCAATTCAAGTGGTTCGTGAAGCGCGCTCAACGACCTGCTAGGATGACACTATGAACACAAATAACAAGTGACAAGACGTGAACACATCGTAACTGTGTTGAATAGGATACAATGAAATTGGAGACCGAGGAGCCCAAATGAGATATGCCTGCTAAGCTGCACAGGGAATCTTCAATAGATATAGAATAAACTTGGTAGAAAATTCTTTTTTTTTTTTTTGTCGTAGTTAGAATTACCTCTTTTAGGTTAAAGTGCCTATCAAAATTCTGAAAAATATTCTCAGTATTGATTCTACATGGGGCAAGATGTTAGATAACCCGAATTTTTTTTATAGTTTGAGTGCGGCTTCTTGATATTATAAAAAAAGGTTATTCCATGCCATTTGCTAGACTTAGCATACGGCATAGAAAAACCTTTATAACTTCAAGAAGCCGCACTCAAATTACGAAATTTTTTTTCGGGTGTTTTAAATATTGCCCCATGTAGAAACAATACTGTTAATAAAAAACTGCTTTAGTCATGCCTACAGTTGTTTTAATATTCAATAAAAACTTGAAAATTAACTTTGTATATAATCCAAGACACTTCATAATATTTAAAGATGCGTCATAGATATTAGAGAGTTTTAGATTGACTTTTTTCCTTTATTTTACTTTACCTTTTACAAACCTTCTCACCAAKYGCAAATACTCTTTTGTTTTTCTACTACTTGGACTTTTTTGCGATTCTTTTTCAATAATTTAAAAGAATTTTTTACTGGTCAACTGACGTTTCACGTTTGACGTGAACGTAAATCTAAATCTAAAACTATTATTACTAAATTACTAAATTATAATTTCGTTTCCCCAGAAAGGATTTTCATAAATATCGTAGCCATACGATAATACGAATCATAGAAAGAAGCATTCTGACTAAAGGAAATTCAGTGTCACAAAACGCAAATTGTGACAAGCTGCAGCCAGAGTTTATCTTGTTTGCTAAGAACTGGTGATCTCAATAGGTCAATATCAACTTCATAATTAGTCGAACCTCACGGAAAGAAGTCCACCATTGTTCTCAGTGAATACGGCTAATGTGAAGTTAGTCTAACAACGAAGATACACAACATTTAAAATCCAATATTTAACTAAACAAGTAATAAATTATGCGTTCGGTGTGTATTAATGAAGTAGAGAGAATAAGAGAAAAATATCAAATGCCCTTGGCAGGATTCGAACCCACAAGGTTCAGTAATACTTCAACCAGTGAATGTCTTTGAAGGAGCAAAGTTTAGACGAAATGGAAGACAAAGTTAACACATACTTGGTCAATCCTACCGAAAACGTAGTCAATATATCGCCACCCTGTCTTAAACTGGAAACCTGTGTTAGTAATATGGTATAGCAAGCAAAAGGTTGTGCACTGAGGTAAATTCCCTTCCCCCTCCCCCTTGTTACAAAAACCAAATCGTGACAAATGTCAGCCTGAGGTAATCTCCTTGACTTGTTCGTTAAGAGCTAGAGCTCCACTGATGCAAAACTAACGACGCACGCATGCAAACAAGATTTCAAAAGCAAGGTTCCATACTCAACTGTCATAATTAGGAAACAAGGTTCTAATACGATAAGGACTCGTCTTTGAAGGAGCAAAGTCTAGACGAAATGGAAGACAAAGTTAACACATACTTGATCGTTCCTACCGAAAACGTAGTCAATGTATCGCCACCCTGTCTTAAACTGGAAACATTCTTACGTATGGCAAACATCCCTTACAACCCCATTCGTGGCTGGAGGCCCTCTACTAAAGGCAAGATGCCTTGGATCGAGTATAAAGGAAAGGATGTTGCAGATTCTAATTTCAGTATCCAGTATCTCAGTAAAGAGTTTGGTGTTGATGTTGATGAGCACTTGACTGCAGAACAAAAAGCTGTGGCTACGGCTTTTCTTGTCATGTTGGAAGAAAACACCTACTGGTGAGTTGAGTATGGAGACAGAATACCTGTAGAATATCCTGTTTTAAGGTAGCAAAATATATTAATATTGATATAACTATCGAAATTTCACCTTTGATTGGTGACCGAAGTCAAACTCAGTGGAAAACATTGCATTATTTTTAAAGTGCCTATGACACATAAACCAATATTTTCAGCATTGATTCTACATGAAGTGAATAGTTGAATGGCAAAATATTTTTATATGATTTGAGTGATGCATCTAGGAGATATGATGACAAATAAACTCAAATGCCTCGGCTGTTTGCCGTGCCATCTTATTAAAAAGAAGTAACGCAATATCATGGCTTGGGTGCTTATTGAATATATTGTCACTACTGTGACGAGACGATATTTCGCTGTCGCTAGAGACATGGTAAGAGTAAGGAGTAAGGCGGTAAGGGTAAGGAAGAAGGGGTGAAATTAGTAAGGCAAAGACAGAAAGAATAAAAAAAAAAACAACGAAAAACAAAAAACAAACAAACAAAAACAAAAACAAAAAAACAAAAACAAAACAAAACAAAACAAAACAAAAAAA